CCACTCAAGATATTTTCAACTAATGTGAGATAATCGCTTAAACATTGACTTCAATGGAAAATGAGTGTTGCAGCACAGTGAATATGTTGGAGGCGCTTTTCTTGAGCCACTATCTTTTAGAGTGTGAGTATCTTTAGTCTGTCAACTATGGCCTGTAAATCTCAAGCTATAAAATACGTATTTAAGCCAGTACAAGGAAAGTAAAGCGATTCATGGGATTCCGTATATTGCTTCTTCTATTGTTGATTCATCTTATGAATCCATCTTTGTCAGCTCGATGAATTCTAATGAAGCAGAAATCTGTCCCATTTACTCCACAATGAGGCTAGTTGGTAAAATTTCTTTGTAAAATGAAACTATTATCTTTAGCTAGACACGCACAAAGCCCAATATAAATAAATAAAGTCACACTTATCTAGTGGCCAGTGTGATTACTGTAGCCAAAGCTGACATCCAAATTGACTGTCTTATCATGTCGAAGTGATTTCGGCTGAGCAGAAAGTGTAGATGAAAGCAAAATGATCTTTAAGTATTAGTTAAAGATGGCTGCTTGATAAGTTGTTCCACAACAGTTTTGATCACTGAAGCATGCATTCAATATATTGCCTATTTAGATATATGAGATAAACTTAACTGGTCTTCTAAATGATTTAGAAATTATATTTTCGTCAGTACAAGGGAATGACTTTATGGCCTTGATGGATTCTTAATGTTGGAACATAATGTAAATGCTTCAGGAACATTATGGTGAGCTGGGCAGTTTGTCACTTTACACTATGACTTTTGTATTTGATTTAATGCATGATCAAATGTTTCAATTCTTATTTCTTTATCTCTACTATATATAGGCAATTACTAAATGATAAGTACCTATTCTTAAGACAAACATGAGGCTGGCTTAATGTTGAACACAGGGTGAATGATTGAAACTGGACCTTTAGGCAGTATTTCCGGGAAAGGCTTTGACTACCTCGTGTCGAAAAGCCTATGAATTGAATTTGCTGTGCGCTCATACGACAAAGCCTGTCAGGTGGGAGTTCCAACTGTGGAATATGTCAAAGCTATTTTCCTCTTTACCAGTCAAAGCAGTGCTTGTTTAATAGTAATTGGAATCTTATCCTGCTGTTTGTTCATCATTTCCCCTGCCTAGTTATTCCACCCCTAAACTTCATTTAAGTTTTTAATAACATTTTAGAATACTTCCCATTCAGGTAAACACAATCTGATTACCTTGATGGATGGAAAATGTATGTCTGATGGTAGTTTATTTGATGTATTTAATGAGGGGGGCCTCCAATGGAGACACTTTAACTGAGGCATACAAATGGTTGCCATGCCTTTTCCAGCAGCACAGTGGTTTAGAGAAACTGTGAGATCATGCTGGAAACATACAGTGATGGTTTATGCCATTCCACAGAATGTCTCCACAATTCCCCTGCTCCAGAGGAAAATACTGTCCACTGGAGTTGTTTGTGTGACTTTAGATATTTTTAAAACGGAATAAATGCACACTCAGCGCCAGAAGCCAATGAGCAGTGGTCTAAAACTATTCGGTTTGGATTTCCCTCTCCAGAAGCCTCTCATTGTGTTAGAGGTCGTGCTTTGTACAACTGCTTGCCAGCTGCTTACTAAATGAGGTTATAGTGTTTCCCTATCAACTGTAAATTTCAATAATTTGTTAGAGGGGCCTCTCACTGTCAGTTTTTATCATATTATCAATGACGACTCAATTTTCCTCTGCCACTCCATCTCAACCACTGACCCCCGGCCCTATTACAGTCCTGTAATGAAGTGCAATGGAGTGGTAATTGGTCCACATTATACCAGATCAGGTAACATTAGACTTATTTTCTTATCACAATGAGCCCTGCTGGTGACTCTCAATGAGAAACCAAACACAGTTCCTTTCTTATGCAGGCTATCATCCAAATAACATTTCAGCTGGAGACCCTTTCCACATTTCAGTTTTCCATTTCAAGATTGCACTCTATGTCCTCGGATTGTGTTTTGTTTCTAGTTTCCTCCACTTTAAAAGTCTCCCAAACAGTCTCAGAGGAAGTGCAGATATGAGGTAGAGCTTTCCTGAGATGGAACTATACAGTAAACGAGATGGTAACATGACCATTATGTCGGCAGTATTAGATGTACAGTACTCCGCTCCCCCTCTGTTACAGCTTCCTGTCTTGGCGTGCTTGGTGCTTAGTCATTTTAGTTTAGATATAGTTTTTCTGTCACTGAAGAACAACAGGCTTCATTATGAACTGAGTAAAATTCATGAGCTAATGAAAATGTTTCAAAGTGCCATCAGCATTAAAAGAAGGTTGCATTTCTACCATTCCTAAAAAAAAATGACGCATGTGGAAATATAAAGTTTTCACCCAGGAGGCAACAACATGTGGGTGAAATCAAAAGCAGCTCAGAAAATTGGCACGAATCAATTTTCTCATACAGTTACCATGTGTCTGTTAGCTACCAAAAACATTTAATGACTCTGAGTAACAAGGAGTTAACTTCAAGAAGTTGCAAAATTATGTTTAAAGAATTCAGCAAAAAAAATAAAAAATAAATAAATAAATGTGATGCTTCCAGTAGAATAAGCCTAACAGAGTCGAGCAGCCTCATATTGAGTTGTCCAACTAACATCTAGGCATGACTCAGATAGACTAAAACTTTGAATAATGGCTGGCTTTACCAGTAGTCAACTGTTAAAGCTCCTCTACGTACATTGACTAATTTAATGACAGTCAAGCAGAATATCACAAAGCTGTTAGGCCGTGTGTGAACTGTTGTGCGCCAAAATGCAGGATCTCATCAGGTCTGTGTTGTGAAGTGACGTACATTTCCCGGCAGAGCCGCTCTGTGTGCTGAAAACACACCGAGGACTACAAAGACAGGATATTGGATAACAAGGTTGAAATTTGGGAGCAAAATATTCCCTTAGGCTCAGGCTGCAGGGATTTGATTTGAGCCACCTAATAGACAGTGGTTGCAAGGGAGCCTAAACAAAAGGTAACGGGCCGGTCACGCTTATGGCAGCTAATGGCAGAGTTAGAAGAAATTAGGGATTCTTTTTCTACAGGAAATTGTACTTAAAGACAGGTCATGGATCACCCTGATCTTCAGAGGCAACTTCAGAAGTCAGAAAGGGAACTTTTGCTGCAGCCATTAAAAGGTCAAAGCTTAACTAAAACTAATTGTATTACTAGAGAAAAGCAAAGTGGTGTAAATTGATTATGTGGGTAAATTTCAAGTGAATAAATGCTTCTCTTGTGATTTTCTTATTATAATTGAAGAAAGTGACAACTGAAGGCAAGGCAAACCTGCACTTACATGCCAAAATAAACCCAACATCGACAAAAATGTTTTTAACTGTGAATAACTAAGAACAGCTTCTTGGCTTTGATTTGACAGATACCTGGAAGTTTGTTGAAGTAATTCTACAAGAGCCGTGATGGTTTGGTGTTTTGTTGATGGCGATAGAAAAGGCAGTTTCAGGTGCTGCCACATAATCTCCTGCCAGCACTTTACAGCGCTGGGATCTTCATGATTGCTTTGTATATACTGGCTTTTACCTCAGCATCTAATTCGTTCAGTAGATATAGGCCAGGAAAATGTTCTTTAAGTGTATCCTCTGCCACTTTCCATGTGCAACATACATACTTGTATAAAGAAATTTAAGCTCTGCAACCTCTCTTTACTTTGTTGTTGCAACTCAAAATATCTGCTAACTTATTTAGATTTACAGTTCTTCATATGTATTTGCTTGTGTACAACTCACACAGTTTTAATGTGTGAGCAGAAGGTGTTGCACATGACATGGACACCACTTTTTACATCACTTAGTTGGAAAGTACTTGTCATTTCAAAACAAAGCAGGGTGCATCAAAGTAGTGTATTTATATAATACCCAAAGTAAGAGGGTACCTGAATACCTTATGTGTCTGTCATCTAGTGGCTGCTTTCTTCTGGTTGCTGTCTCTTTAGTGACTAGTGATAGGGACTGTCTGTTGGCCAATGTAAATGATTGTCTGCTGCCCTCTAGTGAATGTTAATGTTGTTGCAGTCCGTCTTTTGAATTTTCTGGGTAAGCTGGAACTTCACCTACTAAGCAATATTTACAATATACCGGCGATTCATTCAGTTCATTGACTTATTCATCCAGTTGTTTGTTTGTTTGAATTAAGAAATACATAGTTGTGTGCCTGTATGCCTGTGTACTCTCTGTGATAATCCTCAGTGAGCATTTGAGCACACAAATAACTACTACAGATAGAATCATTTTAATAAAACTGGCATTATTGCAGGTTTTATCCTCAACATTTATACAACATAAAGCCAAAATCACCTTCACTGTCACTTTTAATGTTTATATTGATGCATTTACATTTTATGTGATATGTTGCAGATAACCATGGTAAAGTATCTAATAAAAGACTTATTAGATAACCATGACCATATGGGTTTTAAAATAGGTATGTAGGTTTATTATTAGCTAAGACATTGATACCTCAGTGCTAACACAAGTTTACATAACATGGTGTCACTGTTAAGAGATAGCATGTCTATTTATTTGAGATATAGTCTTATACTATCACTCTCATTACGAAACTGTGACTGCACCTTGAAAAGGAAGTCAAAAAACAGAAGAGGCATTTGACATGCAACAGGTGATTTGATGCATTTGATGAGTGTGTGTTTCTTTGTGTTTGTACAGTATTTTTGAGAACAGTATCAAAAGTTGTTTTTTCACAAAAAACACTATTTGTGTTAGTCTGTTTTCTGCAAAGACCTGTGCCTGCATGACCCACAATTCAACACAGACACTCCTAACTAAACCCTTATTTTAATTTCTTTCTTTTATTTATTTCTTTCATGTATTTTTTGCTCTGAATCAACAAATGCAAAACAGTCGAGGGCCAACCAGTGGCATGTGAAATTGCAGACACGTTGCACATTATGACATGACTGTGGTGCATTTTCTCACTTCTTCAACTGCTTCAGGAAGTGGGACAGTGTCACCAAAATCAGGAAACTAAGTGTTGCTATAAATACAACAGAGTATATTGCTAGTGCTGGTGAAAGCTTAGTTGCAGCTGAAGACAAAAGGAACGTCAGTAGATTTGAGAAACTAAAAAGGACATGGGCAAATGACGCTCTTTATGGGGTGATTTTTCTGAGTCTTCACAACTATGGATGAACCTGCTTCAAGTATTAAATCAGGTAAATATGACCCATCTTTTGTAATTGTATTTCACTGTACACAGATACATACATACAAAAGCTGCTTTACAGTTTGTCATTTAATAAACAGTATGAATTACTCTGTTTTTTAAAATGTAATATGTTTGTTTAATTGAGTTTTAATGTGCTGAACCTTCACTGTAAATTCTTTTCTGAGCTCATAAAAAAGAGGAAGCAAAAATCTTAGCTATGCTGTGTGACTAAATTCATGAATTGGTTATTTTAGAATTTCCTGCACATCATATCTGTCATGTTTTCGGCCCATTAACAAACAGATGGCAGGTCTCCCTGCCCTGCCATCAGTGGGAACTGTGATGAAGGGGAATGAATACTCATGTTGGGTTTCTTTCCCAGTTAGCTTGTACATGGGTGAACCTTTCCTGATTAAACACTGTAATGAGTCACAGAAAATTACTCAGACTAGTGTTGACACAGTGCAGTGTTTGCACAACTCCTTGTTGGCGCTGTGCTGAAATATCCAACAAATCCTACATTCATTCTCTGACCACAGTCACCTTGACATTCCACAGTTGGACAGCTGGTGTGTTGTGGAGCCTTTCCACGACAAACATTATCCACTGCAACATGGAAAATGACACATAATATTACTGGTGTCGTATCATAGTGTAATGTTTGAGCTGATTACAGGACTGTCATTCATGATGCTGGATGAGTGTTAAGACGAGCTAATGATTAATATTTTCTAATGTTATGTTTAGGTGAAGCAATCATAAGACAAGTCTGCATGCATGTACTCCACATACAAACCACTCTGTAATATGTTCTGTTTTTCAGCAAAGTCTGAATCCCTCTCAGTATACGAGCTGGTAATTCTGCACACACCTGAGGCACAGGAATGGGCGACATATTTGCAACTGATCTTAAAATCTTCTCAGAACCTCCACAAAAGCTCGGTTCTGCTCCATGCAATAGGCCCAGCTGATCAGCTCCATGAAAATGACTCTGATCGCTTCCAAAACTGCAAGTGCATTGTGTTGCTTCTCACTGGAGCGTTCCTAGATATCCTCTGTGACATAGAACTGCAGGAAGCACTTCACAGACTCCTCTATCCACCACACAGAGTGGTGGTGCTGCTGTGTGGCGTCTCAGAGGATGACATACACACAGAGACTTTCGAAGACTGGCAGAGCTGGAGAAAGCTCTATGCTGATGAAGAACCATCTATCTATATTGCCACCATTTTGGAGTCCATCACTGACAGTAGGCAAAATTCAATCACTTAATTATTTCTTTTTGTGTCTTTAACACCTTCACACGTGTGTGCTATATTATTATGGGTACCCATTTAAAGCTTTCCTACCAGCTTTTGGCTATTTAATATTCAGATAAGCTCCTTTGACCCACAATAGGCAAACATAATCAATTAAAGGATCAGTTTGCCCAAATTAAAACCCATTATTTCACTTACCTGAAACTCTATCCTGATAAGAGTATACTAGTCTCTGCTCTGCTACAATAGAGGTGAGAGAAATATTATACTATATATGGTGGTAAAGGGAAGGCATAGGGCCACAGTGGATAGCACTGTTGCTGAATTATTAAAGCTGAATAAACATACCTTTAATCCTGAACCTTCACTGTAAATTCTTTTCTGAGCTCATAAAAAAGAGGAAGCAAAAATCTTAGCTATGCTGTGTGACTAAATTCATGAATTGGTTATTTTAGAATTTCCTGCACATCATATCTGTCATGTTTTCGGCCCATTAACAAACAGATGGCAGGTCTCCCTGCCCTGCCATCAGTGGGAACTGTGATGAAGGGGAATGAATACTCATGTTGGGTTTCTTTCCCAGTTAGCTTGTACATGGGTGAACCTTTCCTGATTAAACACTGTAATGAGTCACAGAAAATTACTCAGACTAGTGTTGACACAGTGCAGTGTTTGCACAACTCCTTGTTGGCGCTGTGCTGAAATATCCAACAAATCCTACATTCATTCTCTGACCACAGTCACCTTGACATTCCACAGTTGGACAGCTGGTGTGTTGTGGAGCCTTTCCACGACAAACATTATCCACTGCAACATGGAAAATGACACATAATATTACTGGTGTCGTATCATAGTGTAATGTTTGAGCTGATTACAGGACTGTCATTCATGATGCTGGATGAGTGTTAAGACGAGCTAATGATTAATATTTTCTAATGTTATGTTTAGGTGAAGCAATCATAAGACAAGTCTGCATGCATGTACTCCACATACAAACCACTCTGTAATATGTTCTGTTTTTCAGCAAAGTCTGAATCCCTCTCAGTATACGAGCTGGTAATTCTGCACACACCTGAGGCACAGGAATGGGCGACATATTTGCAACTGATCTTAAAATCTTCTCAGAACCTCCACAAAAGCTCGGTTCTGCTCCATGCAATAGGCCCAGCTGATCAGCTCCATGAAAATGACTCTGATCGCTTCCAAAACTGCAAGTGCATTGTGTTGCTTCTCACTGGAGCGTTCCTAGATATCCTCTGTGACATAGAACTGCAGGAAGCACTTCACAGACTCCTCTATCCACCACACAGAGTGGTGGTGCTGCTGTGTGGCGTCTCAGAGGATGACATACACACAGAGACTTTTGAAGACTGGCAGAGCTGGAGAAAGCTCTATGCTGATGAAGAACCATCTATCTATATTGCCACCATTTTGGAGTCCATCACTGACAGTAGGCAAAATTCAATCACTTAATTATTTCTTTTTGTGTCTTTAACACCTTCACACGTGTGTGCTATATTATTATGGGTACCCATTTAAAGCTTTCCTACCAGCTTTTGGCTATTTAATATTCAGATAAGCTCCTTTGACCCACAATAGGCAAACATAATCAATTAAAGGATCAGTTTGCCCAAATTAAAACCCATTATTTCACTTACCTGAAACTCTATCCTGATAAGAGTATACTAGTCTCTGCTCTGCTACAATAGAGGTGAGAGAAATATTATACTATATATGGTGGTAAAGGGAAGGCATAGGGCCACAGTGGATAGCACTGTTGCTGAATTATTAAAGCTGAATAAACATACCTTTAATCTATGTCAGGGGTGGCCAATTCCAGTCCTCGAGGGCCGCTGTCCTGCTTGTTTTCCGGCTATCCCTGCCTGACCTGCTGCTGATTACCTGGCTCAGGTGTGTTCAGCCAGTCAGAAGCTGGAAGATACCAATTCACTTTATAATTCCTCACTCCAATTTCATCTAAGATGGTATCTTCCAGGTTCTGACTGGCTGAACACACCTGAGCCAGGTAATCAGCAGCAGGTCAGGCAGGGATAGTAGGGATAGCAGGACAGCGGCCCTCGAGGACTGGAATTGGTCACCCCTGATCTATGTGAAATAATTAGGTAGGGGAGACCAGGGATGGTGCTGACACCTGGACAGTTGTAATACCAGCAGTTCCACAAATTAAGGATAAAATAGGAGCCACGTAATCATTTCAGTGTTTAGACCTGGCCCCTCCAGTCCCACACGTACAACTAAGGACACTTTCTTGATTTTGATCGTTTTACAGAATGCCTAAGCAGAGGAAAATAAAGACGAGCAGAGGTGTGCCTGCTAATGGTTTTTTAAAAGCCAAAAGAAGTACGTGTAATATGTGCACTGTGTAGGCCTGCGTTCCAGGGTTACCCACGTTCACTTGTCACCATTATGACTCATATTCACACACACATACAAACACACACACACACATTATAATTATTATTTATTAGACTTGTATGTTCTTTACACAGGTACACTGCATATATACCATTAAGGAAGCTTTTTCTAGTAGTGCATTACTTAAAAACCACACATTTAAATGCGTGTCGTTAGTTCTAATTTCTGGTAATTTCTTTAAACGTCTCTTGGATATTGTGGCCAGTGTTCAGGCTGTCTGTGTAAGCATTTGGCTATGCGGCACCACACTTGAGCTCAGACTCGGGGCGGTTGAAGGGACCTGGGTGCACACAGAGAGGTACTGTACAATAAGCTGATGGCACACCTGAAAAAGCCTGATGCGCTGGTCCAGGTCAGGTAGCTCTGGGTCAGCCTGTCCTCCTCCACTGGTCTCTCTTCTGCTTGTTTTGTTGCCTGAGATTTGAGATCAAACCATCTTTTTACTTCATCAGTTGTGCGCCCTTCTCTTTATACAGTGTTCACTGAATGAACAAGAGCATCCCAGGACTTTTTGGTTTTATTTTTTATCCACTACTCATGCTACTAAGTGCTGTTCTCCAATTTATAACTGCTCGAGGTTTTTTTGGTTTGGAGTTTGTTGCTCCACTGTCTTTACATTTTCATTGTAGCATTCCTGGCCTTCTCACCATTTCTCTTTCATTTCTCAGAGATTCTTGTGTGCACATGCCCATGCAGTCTTATGCCCTTTTATGGAAATTGGCGGAGCATTAACCTATGCTAATTAAGAACGACTGGCACGCGCTTTCAACTTACGAACACATAGGATTCATTAATATAAGAGTGCTAGGAGTTCTGCGGTTTAAGAACACCTTCATGAATCAGATGTAGACTTTTCTTAGGACCTTTCTTAAGGACAATCCACGAAGAAATTTAAGAAAACGCTTGGGAAGATGTTGGTGAATGTGGCCCATTTTTCTGGATTGTTTTTATATTTTGAAGTATATCTGGGCTCTGTTTTTACTTTTCATTTATCCAGCTGTTACAACTTTCAGTGGAGGCCAGGAGAGACTAGAATTGCTGCCATTTGTAGTGAACAAATTCAGTGAGTTAGGTGCTGAAATTGTGTTACAACCATTCATAAATTCATAAAAATTGCTAAGATTAGTAAAATAATGCAGTTTTCTTTTTAATTCATAGGCAGACAAGTTGAGGCCAAACATGAGAACGAAGCTGTGGCCGAAGTGGAGTTGCACACCACAGCAGCCTCTACAACTGTAAATCCCACCATTTATGAAGCAGAGGAAGTGGTGTCTGATGAGCAAAGGGAAACTGTCTTACAGGATAAAGAGGAAAAAGCAGCTGTGAGCACAGGGAATTCATCAAGCATGGAAATGAGTTCACCCACACACCTCACCTGTCTCACAGTTCAGCCTAACAGAGTTCTCTGTGGGGTAAGACCGAAGGACTTGCATAACAATAACATCAAAAGCAATATTAGCATGGATCAGTGTGTTAGTGTGCATTTACACTGTTACTGCTGCTGAGTGAATTAAGACATGTTTGTACTGGTATCAATAAAATATTCTACCCCAGTACTTATTTAAAATTATGAACTGGTAATGTCCTAGTTTGATTTGATTTGATTTATTCTTTCAAACATGTAAAGACAGTCAATATGTCAACACACATAATTTCACACATATCCACAAATGCATTATCAATTTGCTTATACCTAGTACATGCTTGAATGGAGTAGGAAGAAGTTAGACTTATCCAGTCCTACCCCATGACATCATCTTACCATCATTGGTTTGCAAGCAGTATCTCTACATAGATAATTCTCTTCTACACCACACAAGTAATATACTAAGAAATTATAACAGAGTGTTAACATTCTTACATAATTACATTCTTAAATAATTTTCTTCTACACCACACAAGTAAAATATTAAAGAATTATTACAAAGTGTTAACATTTATACACCACACCCACAATGTTCCATCTAATTAATCATTAAGCCTGTTCTTGCATATATCTTGATTGACACATACCTTTATATTTATGTTTAAACTCATCAATTCTATTACTATTTTTTATGTCCACACTTAAATTATTCCATAGTTTTACCCCACTTATGGAAATACAGAATCTTTTTTTGGTTGTACGTATAGCATGAATTTAAAAATTTAACTGACCCCTTAAATTGTATCCCCCTTCCCTTTCATTAAAAAGTTAAAAATATAGAGAGGTCATGTTAATTATATTTTCCCTTTTTTGTTTAAGGAACGCGAGACACTTTTTATCATTTTCACGCACAAAATAGATCATCAGTCAGTGCTAGAGGTGGAGTTTTCATCTGAAAGTGTAGCTGCAAAAAGGGTCCCAGGCACTGTGGAGAATGAATACACAATATGCGTTTCTGCACCTGGCAAGTATCTCCAAGATGTCATGTGCAAACAGTTGCCTGTCTTTTAAGTGATGAATGCCAGATATTAAAAGCTTACAGTAAATCTGAAATCATTTTTTCTTGTTGTCGTCTAGATATGCCTGCTGGACTGGTATCGCTCACCATGTATTGTGATCAGTTGTGTGTCAGCTTGACACCTGTGACATATTACACCAGTATGGGGGAAGTCAGTCGGTATCTTGAAAATGCTAGTGATCCTGTTAACTTCATCTGCCAGGTGCGATGTTATGTCACACAGTATGTTGCACCATGTGCTTGTTTGATGGTTTTAATAGCTGTCCTAGTCATGTAACTTTTTTTTTTACTTTCAGGCCTTCAACTTGGCATCCAATGCAACAGAATTAGTGGACAACATGCTAACTGACTCATTAAAATCCAAAATACCTGCCTCTAGTCTTCAGCTGTTTGGAATCAGACAGATTGAAGAAGACAATATGGCAGCATGTGAGTACAACACCTTGATTTCTTATTCCACTCATTTCTTGTTCTTCCCTAAACAATGCCACAGAGATATCAGTAAATACTAAATTATATATATTCCATCTTTACAATTCCTGTCTCATTTTTCACATTGAAACCACAGAGAGAAAAGCAGCATATGAACAGTTGTATCTGATTGCCTTTTGTCCTTCAGATCAGCGTAATGAGGAGCTTCCCACGCTCCTCCACTTTGCTGCTAAGTACGGGCTGAAGAAGCTGACCACTGTTCTCCTTCAGTGTCCTGGGGCTCTGCAGGCCTACAGTGTGATGAACAAGTATGGAGACTACCCAAACACGCTGGCAGAGAAGAGTGGCTTCTCTGATCTCAGACAGTTCATGGATGAATTTGTTGTAAGTCCAGTGATAAGAGCTTTTAAATATGTATTTAGTTTGAAGTGTGTTGAATATTTTCTTCTAACACTGAAGTTTTCCTGTATCTTTAATCAATGTCTGCCTGTGTCTTGTGTACAAATAATCCAGGAGACAGCAGACATGCTCAAGTCTCACATTGAAGACACCATCAAAACAGAGGAGGGTGCAGAGGTGTATGAACCTATGTCAAATGCCTCTGAGGATATCATGATGAAGTACTCAGGTTGCTCAGAGGACATATATGAGTCAATGCTGGGGATCAACCCTGAATGTGCAGAAGACCTATGTAAGATTAAAATCCTTTTGTTTATTGACAACAGTTACAAAACTGGTGGTTAAAATTTTGCTAACAATTGCAGTGCTGTTTTTATCAGATGAAATGATGAATGCAGTAGAAGAGAACCCCGAGGATGCTATGCTTAGGATATTTTTCAAAGGTATATGTTTGAATAACTTTCAAAATAATGACATTAAAGCTACAATACTTAACTTGGCACTTTGTCTTCCCTTACAGCTGCTGAATGTAATTGTGTTGTGCCCAGCTGTCATACTGTAGATGTGTTCTCTTTCTGTTCTTCATGGCTGTGGCTGGCCTCTGGCGGTGCTGTAGTTCTGGGTTTGTGTTATGTGGAGTACGTTTTTACATGCTTTGGCTGTACAGATCATGGGAGAGATGTCTGCTGGCTATACACTGTACTATGTACTGCTACATGTGTGTACTTTAGTCCATGTCCTGATGCACAGCTTGTTCTTGTTCACAATCACAGTAAGGGATTGTAGTAAGTTAATGAGTCCAAATATTAAGTCCAAGCTCCCGAGGACAGGAGAACACAGTACAATGTGCAACTGGAACACCGGTGTCTGTACTGACAGCTGTTTACTCTGCTCTTAATGAGATGTAGTGTAGCTGCCTGCTAAGTAGAGTCAGTTTGGTCCACTAACTGTTATGTGCCGTTCGCACCTGTCAGTGAGCGAACGAGAAAGAGGCGGACCCAGGTAGCCAACTTCGATGCAAGCAGTGATTTATTATGTACAGTGATGATGAGAGTAAAAATACACAGAGGAAAATAGTACGTAGTTCTGTCGATGAGTAGTAGCCGGGTGTTTGACCAACAGCAGGAGGCGAGGAGATGGAGAGCTGGGCCGAGCTGTGTAGGCTGGGTCACTCCTGGGCTGGTCGGTGGTGATGGTGGCTACTGAAGGTGGAGACAGAGAGATGAAGGCAATAGTGGAACAGATAGGCGACTGAGCATTGACCTGCCTGGGAGGGGAGAGTGGAGCCACGGTCTGGAGGAACAGTCCAAGGGGAAACACAAAACAGTAGCTGGCTAGGGGATAAAGACATACAAAAACAATGAAAACGCACGGAGTTAAGTTGGCCTAGTGACTAGAAAGAACTGGCAAGTGACTGAGGAGTGAAACCGGGTAATATAGTGAGCAACCTAATCAAGTGCAACTGGTGATAAGGGAGTGAGGAACAGGTGAACATGATAAGTGTAAATGGGCAAGAGACAGTAGGAAAGGTGAGGGAGGCTAGAGCGGCCGAGCAAACCTGACGCTAGCAGATCCTTACAGCTTCAAAATCATCAGAGCAAATGTTCAAATTGGCAATACTTGGATAGACTGACTTATATTTGCAATCTAAGTGGTTACTTTCTCACCTGAAAACGTATCAGAACTCAATAAAGGCCCAGGGATTTGTCTTTGCATGTTTGAAGTAAGAAATACTGAGCTAACTGAAGGGTCTGGTGCCGTAAAGCATTACATAGTTGTTGCAAGAGGTCTCCATGATGGTGATCCAAAGTTATGTATTGTTGCTTTAAATAGAAATATTGTATATGTATAGTTTATCATATCTGCTGTGATTGTGACTTTCAGGAAAAACTCACCACAATACAGTCCAGGACAGCAATGAGCCCCTTAAAAGTAAGGAAGAGGAAAAAGAAGGTCAGACTGAAGTGGATCAAACTGAAGAAGAGGAGGATCCATACAATCTTTTTCCAGAGGAGATCTATGATACTGTGGATGAAGACAGTACCTACAAGCTGGCAATTGTAAACCGTCCACCAGCCCCTATCCCGAGACCTCAGGCCAGGCCTGAATCTGAAAAACCCATGCCCTACATCTCTAGAGGTGTTGTGCAATCTGTTTTTAGCTAATTCAAAATGTTCTCTTTACACACAAGAGTCCATGAAATTGTTCTCAAAAATAGATAACTTCATATTCTTGACAGTATTTTCAGATAAAGGTACATCCCAGGATAAAAATATGACGATAGGATGTCCTGCAGGTAAAGAACAGTTTATCTGTTGAAAATAACACTTAGGATCTTTCCAGTGACGTGCGGTGAGGTTGACAGCTGGTGAGGCACTGACTCTTTTACAGTCAGATTTACAAATACAAATGAACCGTTAACAAATTGTCTGTTAAGAGACAATGCGTTATGTTTTATATCTCATATCAGCATTCTTCACACAAACGTGACCCATATTTAATTTGAGGTTAAAATTTATTCCAATTGAGCTTATTTCTAACTAGAAATAATAAAAGTTTATGGTCTTATCTTTACTTGTACACGAAATCCATTTGCCAGCTGGTATGTATTACAAACCCTTTTTCCGTTCGAATCCAGTATTAAAACAAACGTTTTCAATAAAGAAAATCCTTCTGGACAAAAATGTCCAGACTGTCAAAAATGTTTTGATTGAAAGTCCAGATTTGCGAATTTTCTCAGCTTGGAAATGTAATCTTCCATTTTGATAAGGCGGATTGTAAAGGAAATATAAACAAGCACGAAGAAGATTGTAGGTAGCGCAAGAATCTGTGGGCTCACTAGCGCCCTCTGCCTTGAGGCAGGCGTACTGTTTGCCTCACCGAGTAACTTTTTTACTGGGTTTTATGGTTAATCTGCGAGCCTAAACACGTTACAGAACTACATTTTATACATTATCCAGATTATGGCAAGGCAGAGCATATAATCAGAGTGTTTGAAAGCATTTTATTTGCGATATATAGAGGGACAGCGACACACTATTTGCATCGCATACAGTTTGTGAGGATTTCACGATCCACCGAGAGGCACAGCAAAGTGCTGCCTCATCGCGCATCTCCTCCATGTATTTGAACGGGACATACGGAAATTCTGCTATTCATTATTGAAAAAAAAAATCCTTCGACATCGGATTCGAACGGCAAAAGGGCCTACAACACACACCAGCCGACAAATATTAACATTTATTATATTTTATGATTAACTTTTTTTCTTTTCAAGATTGACAGGGGAGGCTCTGCCTCACCTGCCTCCCCTGACTGCACGTCACTGGATCTTTCTCCCTCATCTGTTTAATTAATAAATGCTTGAGACTCTCTTCTGTAGCTTCATTTAAAAATGTTTTATTTTTACTCCACATACTTGTTTTTTTTTTCAAGTTACTGATTTCCCATTTCACACAGTTTTAGCACCTATTTTTTATTTGTTGTTGTTGTTGTTGTAGACTGACAAATTTTTCACCCATCCAGTTTGGCCTGCGACAGATGCCCCAACACCTATTTATGACCCCTATGCTGGGATGAAGACCCCTGGGCAGAGACAGCTCATATCCCTGCAGGAGAGAGTGAAAGTGGGGGAAATCACTGTGGATGAGGCTGTCCAGGAGTTCAAGGCTTGGCAGTTTGACCATGAGAGGAGGGCAAGCTCCATACGCTATCAGCAGGTAGATAACTAAACAAACTTGATGGTCCAACAGGTGTGGCCAAAATGTTGGTCCATCTGTGGCCAAGGATTAGGTCTCACATGTTATGTTTGTTTTATCAGGAAAATCTGAAGAGATTACGAGACAGCATCACCAGGCGTCACAAAGAGAGAGAAAAGACAGGAAAGGAGCTGGGTATAATAATTTGACTGTTGGACTTTAATGTATTTATTTGGAATAGATATACCTACATGATGGACTGATTGTGAGCATGTCTTACTCTTTAATGAAATGATGACTTTATGTGCACAGTGGAAATGACATCCTGTTGTTTTCAAAAATGCTAATATTTGATGTGGTCGCTCCTTTCTTAGATTATGAGATAAGCGCTCCTCTGCAAAACAGCCTTTACACAAGCTCCAGGATTACATTAGAGTGTGCTGTTTATGACTCGACGTCCAAGTCGGTAGCTCTGCCACCCCCTCCAGTACCTCAGAGTATTCAGAGAGGCAACTGGAAGACAGGTAGCACGTCCAGCACATCGAGTGAGTCACCCTTTTTTTTTTATAATTAGTTTTTCTACAATGGTTAGAAGTGTAACTACACAAGAAGGACAGTGTAGATGCCTCATGTATCAGTTGTGCTTACACAACATTCTTGTGCTTGAGCGCGCTCATCTCAGGACACAGGATCAGATTTATCATATTCTACTTGTGCTTGAAAATGTGCATACTGTACATTTAGAACCCCTACTGACCAGATGTACAACAGACTCCCCGTGGGAGAGGTACAGTCATGGACAAAACGGTTCCTAAACTACAGATTGTTTATTCTAGACATTGTCTTAGATTAGAAACATTCTTTTACTCAATTAATTATTAACAGACCAAATTAGACGACTTATATCCTGAGAACGCTTCAATAAGCAAATCTGCCCTGTGAGAGCTGGAAACTTTAAAATGTCGCCGAAATTCTTCCTCTTACAGTTTAGCTAAAAATTCTCTTGTTCTAGATCAAACAAACGTCACACAGTCAAATGACCAGTTTAATGAATTAGAGCTCTTCATTAGAGGCAGACTTTTGATAACATCTTGCATTTAATTAATCTCTAAACCACTGAATGTTAAATCCTATCATTTGCTCATTTCTGACTACTCTTTTTTTGTTTGTGTTTTTCAGTTGAGCTGTTACAATGTAGGGATGGTGAACATTGGAATTATTAGATTATTTGTCTGTTCATGAAGGAGTTGTCACTTTAATTTCTTGTACTTTGTGTCATTTTTTGCATCAGAAATGCACCTACAAATATCACAAAGGAAAAGCACTGTGCTTTCAAATGCAGTAGTATGTTCTCAGGGCTGGAAGAATTATTTGTGGTGGTCTCATGCTTCTCACATTTGATCAGTCTGTTCTTTACAGGCTTCTCTTTTGGTTATTCTCACTCTAACTGCTCATAACTCCCCCTATAGGCATGTGACATCTTTATTGTGTGGCTCAAAACGCTATTTTCATCCACATTTGGTGATCTGGTCTGACGACATAATTCACCACAAGCACTAACCTCAGGCAGACTTGAAGTCACGTGTTTTCTTTCTACATTTCTTTACACAAGGTACTGAGAGCAACAGACTGAGCACTCACAGCACCTTCAGCTACAGCAGCGGGACAGAGCCTGAGTTTGAGGTGAATTAATAACAGGAGCACACTGCATGTGTCTTCACAGCGACTTAACATCAGGAAGTGCTACACTGGGCAGTTCTTTTATTACTGCATGAGTGTTATAAACCAAACATAATTTTCACTTTCCTATGTGGTCCTGCTTAGTAACCTTGTGTTTTACACTTTTGACACTCGTAACATGCATGATTTTACCACTTTTGGAGCAGGGAGGTACACAGAGGATCTAGTGTTCAGTTTTATTGTATAGGCACTGACTACTTCAGCTTTTCAGTTCCTAAAATACTTACATGTATTTTAACATTACACTGTTAAAAGACTCAAGCTGACACTTTTCTTTTTTGTGAAAAAGTTGAATCTTGACTGGAGCATAATAGAACTGTGACATTTTTTAATGCACATTTCAGTTATGTCACTGCTGAAACCCTTACACATATTACAACGATCTGATAAACAAAGAAGGCAGATAGGCCTGCACTTGACTGTTTTCTTTGTTGAGTTAGGTGGTGGTTATTTTTTTGATCAGTGGATTAATCATTTAGTCCTTAAAATACCACAGAATATTAAAATGTCATCATAATAATTGCCTAAATCCCAAGATGATATCTTCAAATTGCTTGTTTTGTTTGATCAACAGTCTGTCCAAGAATTTTCAGTTTAGAATCGCATCTAATCTTTACAATTAAGAAGCTGGAACTAGAGATTGCTTGAATATTTACTTAATATTAGTATTTAAAAAAGCTGACAGCTTTCTGTTGCTCTGCTAATTGAATAATTGTCTGATTGTTTAAACCATAAATACAGCACATTTTGAAATGTTGGATTTGTCTGAATGTTTTAAATTTAAGTGCGGTCACAGTACACATTCGTTTTTTTTTTCTCAAAAGGATGCAATGGAAAATCTCCCTCCTCCACCGCGACCTCCTCGGCCAGCTGACGCTGTACCTCTACTTCCTCCACGCAGGGTTCCTCCACGAATCCCAGAAAGGTTGGTACAGAACCACTTGCTTATGCTACTGTCCAGAATGATACAGTATTAAACAATATGATACAATGCAATTGTATACAAAACAATCAAATATATTGCATTGCAGTATGGCAATTCAAACATAAGCATAAGATGCCTTAAAAAATGTGGTCATGTGATCATGTAGCAGAAACAAACTGAGAGGCTTATAAAGAATATGCAGGCAGCGATTAGTGAGACAGTAAGAGATAAAGAGGAAATGTCGCCCACCAATGGTTCACAGCTGTGCATTAGAGAGGAAGCCAACATCAGACAGCAGTGACAGATCACTGATGTTCTGTTGTGCACAGACATAATTATCTCCATATCTCCCATGCACGGAGTTAAAAGGGCGCATAAGAACATTTGAAAATGAAAGCTGAAATTAAAGTGGCTCTACAAGTGGTTTGATTGTTAATTATAACTGCAATGAGTTCTTGTAACTCTGAGATGGTGCAGTGTGATTTTTATTTATTTATGTTTTTATGGTAGCAGTTGTTGCATCTACCTCTTTACAAAGCAGTGTGGGTAACAGTGCAGTGTGTACTGCAGTGTGTCAGATACTTTAGTTGTACTCTGAATATATTTGTTCTTTCTTATGCTGTTATGATATTGCTGTGAAAGCAGCTCACACTGATTTCATAATTTCAGGTTTTAAGTTTTTAGTATCTGAGATTATATAGGCTTATGCATTAAATACATTTATAGGTCACAGTATTGAAAATAGTACACCTATAGAAAGTTTGAAATGCTGCCAATAGTGTGGTAAGAGCTGCCTGTGCAGGTTTAGTTCTTGCTAATTTCCTCATGGTGCTGTGAAATCTTAAGAAGTTGTATTTTGGTGAGCTGGTGTGAACTTGTGAATGCACCTGAAAGTAAACTCAAGATTATGTGAGTGAGGGGATTTTGTGCATCTTTGTTTAGTTTTTCTTAGTTGTGCAGTTGTAGCAAATGCAATGGGACATTGCTTCATGCCGCCAATACATTTAGCCTCGTCACATCAGACCAATGAAATTACCGAACAGGTCACAGTGGACCAATGAAACTGTTCGAATTAAATCAAATGCACTCACACTAAAAAATGCACAAAAATGCATATGATGGAGCTTTCAAGTTAAAGGCGATCGATCTGGCTGTCGAAGAAGGAAATAGAGCTGCTGCACTTAAGCTTGGCTTCTATGACTTGATGGTGAGATGTTGGAGATGTGACTCAGAGGCACTCACTGAACTTGGATCCCTACAGGTACCCATACTTCTGAGATTAAAGTCAGAATTCTGAGAATAAAGTCAGAATTAAAAAAAAAATTATGCAGTGGCCCTAATTAAAAAAAATTTATGCAGTGGCCCTAATACTCTTCCGTAGTTAGTCTTATGCAAAGCTACAGCTAAATTTATCAATGTAATGCCAATTTTGATGACTTAACATCTTGGTCATTTAATCACACACATGTAATCACACAAATAATTTAGGTAGTAGCTAAATTAAGAAATAATGTTGAACAAATCCTGCCTAAACTCCTACTAAAAATAACTACCTTAACGGCATGGCAGTAACCGCCATCTGAGCTTTTCACTCTAGTGTGAGTCATATGATTTATTCCGGCTAAGCTTCTGTTTCCTACCTAATCACTAATTTAAAAGTATTAAAATTGTAGTTTGATGTATATTATAGTACCATCTTACTTAAACAAGTTTAAGTATGTGATTTCTTGGTTGAATAAGAAAGCTGAAACATTACCTGAAACACATTTTGTTTTGAGGAGAAGTGTTCACTCTAAGTTTGAATATCGGGGATAAATAAATGGTAGAGTAGATTGAAACCAGCATTTCATGCAAGGTTTGGATGAACTGTACTGTATGTATGTGTGGTTATTGTGTGTACAGTTGATGACACTGCAGTACGGTCTGTGTCTCGTAGGGTGCCAGAGAAGATGCTGCATGAGCGCTACATATCCTGCCCTACTCGAGCGCTGCCTCAAAGACCCGCTTACAGACAGACCGACTCTCCACCTCCCATACCTCGCCGCCCGCGGTGATTGACACACATCTACTTGTGCCGAGTTTAATCTCTAGTCATGAGTTATTTATCTGAAAAACGGGAGAATGAGTTGGAAAGACAGTGTGTTCTTCTGTATACAACCAGCAGTTAATAAAGTGAAACCAGACAGAGAATACTCTTTATTTTGTTTGTTTTTGTTTTGTTTGATTATTTTTATGAATCAGTTTACCTAACAGAGTAATCCATGATATTTCAGTGTGTGTGGCTGGGTTTGCGTTTCTATGCGTGAGTGAGTCTGTGATATTCATTATACATGTTGTGCTGTGTTGTTCATTGTAAGATCTTGTGATATTCTACGCCTCTAAGAACATTCAAAATACTGCTATAGTAATAAAACATATAAATACTTTGGAGCTTTGTTTTTTGGTTTGGATTTTAAGTGTAATGCATTTTCATGGGGGGTGGGGGGAGGTGTGTTTCCTGTAACCTGAGCCAGTGACAATAATGCTTTTCATTTCAACAAAGCGTTATATACTGTATACGAAGTGCTTCATTGAGGTATATTTTACTTATTTTACCTCAGATCCTGTCACCATTATACTACTTCATGGACTTTGAGGTCAGCTAGTTTCTTTCTTAGACTTGAAAGATTAACATTGGCCATTATGATATAAGTTTTCGTTACATCAGACTTCATGTAACTTACTGATTTTAACTGAAGTATGAAAATGTTCCTTTTAGGTCTTTATTTGAATTGGCTCTTTTACAACCAGTATTTATTATTTCATGTGCTATAAGAAGTTTGATCACTTGAGGGAGCTCCATATTTTGTTTGTTCTTCAAGACTGGACTCTTTTTTTTTTCATGAAATTTATGGTAACTATTCTTCAGTTTTCTGTGAAGAAAGCTGTACAGTCTAAAATAGTGTAGCCAACTGGGACATCAGGTCAAAACTTTCAAAGTAAAGGTTTTACTGATAAAAACGTAACCAAATTGGAAAAAATTCTGATCAGTAGTAAAATAATTTGAATTATATATTTTTGTGGCTCATAATTCCATGCTGACCTTTCTGTATTAAAAGTGTTAGACTGATAAAGGCAAGTGTTAAAAAAAGTTTGCTAGAGTCAAAGCAGAGATAGAAGTCAAAAATGAAAATATGCTTGCACATTTTTCAGTAGGCCCATGATCCGGTTTGTTTCATGTGACTCCTGTCACAGATGCCAAAACTGTGGAGTGGTAAAAGACACATGAATGTAAGAATCAGCAATGATCTGTAGCAGTCCATCATTATAGTCATAAGAAATTGAAACAAAAATTAAATCATATTTAATACAGGCATGTTAGTCAGGCTCATTTGCAGTGTTGTACATATGGAATCCTGCATAATATCAGTGTTTTTCAGCATGCCATGTTCAATGAATCTGTTTAGATCCTGACAGCCAGATGTCATTGTTTTAAATAACCACCATAGTCAAAACTCCAAGTAGTTAGTATTGTCACCTAGACTGCACAATTCCAGTACAAGTTGATGTGCACCAATACATACAGTATATTTTTAAAGCTGCATTTCTCAGTATGGTAACTGACTATGGGTAAGGCATAGGTGTGATTTATAACTCCTCATCAGTTTCCCTCAGTTTTGTTTTAGAATATTTCTTCTCATTATTTTGGTTTTAAGGACTCCACTTTATGTTTTTTTATTCTAGGTATGGCTATTCCTTTCAGCCCTGTTTCCCCACCACAGCAGGCAGCTGTTTATAACTATAAGCATTATTTTACATCATGTGCAGATGCGCCCAAGTAGCTAAAATATATACGTTTACGGATACTGCTTTATGTTTTAATATGGCTACATGTCAGTTTCATTAGAGGTAACTAGTCCATGCTTTTATTGTGAAGGGACAGCGCCCCGGCCCCCCGACGCTCAGTAGTTGTGTCGTGCGGCGGTTTTGACGCAGCTGAGCACGTCCAGTGTGAAGCGCTGACAGGACGCTGGTGGAGCGCAGCCGTCGGCGAACAGAGCTCAGTGAAGTGTGTCTGCAGCAGTGAGAACCACACTGGATTACCACCACACGCAGGTAAGCATGTTTATGTATGGAGATTGTTATCACTCTTTCACATCCTTTTTTATTTTTTATTTTTTATTTTTACCCTGGCACCGAAATTGCTGACTTTGTGTTATTATCGCATAATGCAAAATCAGCACCACTTAATGCATGTTTCATTAATCACTCGCTTTTTAATGTCAGTTAAGCTGACTTTAACAAATATAAGTGTTTCTATGAGTGATTCGATTTCTGATTTGCGCCCCAGCAGATGGGCGCTCTGGCTTTGGGACAGTTACTGCAGTAAAGGCAGATCCATACAGTGGAAATGCGACCCGCCATGGGTGCCGCACTGTGAGGCTGAATGCCCAGGAGAAAACCCACACACCCATGTCAGGGAATTAAAAGCTTCACGCCACGCTATCTTTTTTAAACGAATCCTTTCTAGTGCGTCTATTTCTTTAAGTTGGAAGGCAGCAGCGACGTTTTACTATGAGCTGTTGTCACTGTGAGCCGTAAGGAGCAGACACAGGCTACTCCACATACTGTACAGTGAGGCTGTGGCATCAGGAGCGTGCACTTAATATGATGCATATTATGCGGCATGGAGATGTTAGGAATAGTTTATTGAATAGTTTTCGACTTTAATTTCTTTATCAGTGTTGTCATATTTGAAAGTACCCTTTGCCATTTTTAATCTATTGGTTTTGAAGGTGAAAAATCAAGAGGGCTTGTGGAACAATATACAGCTGTTCAAGGTTTTCACTGCAGCATTATTAAGCAGTAATTAAGTCTGTTATAATGTTATTTTAGAGGAATATTTTTAGTATAGTTGCTTAGTTTCCACTGGTTCCAGTGGCAGCTGTGTGGCGTAACTGCACAGAAGTAACGTGCCTGAGTATTTTCTGCAGTTACAGTGGAGGAATGAATGTTAAACTTCATGTTCAAGTCTGGAAAACAGGTCTGTCTGAGGCTTCATAATGAGCAGCATGTGACATGAACAACTGGCTTATAAAAAATAGTCTGTATACTGTAACTTATGAGACTACATAGCACTTGTGTTAATAGTGAGCTAAAATGCCACCAAGAATAAACGTTGCTCAGCATTCAGACACTTAAGAGTCATTTAAAAATCCAGGGGGGTTGTATGCTAGCATGTCCCTGCAACGTATTTCTGGGTACAACAAACATTCAGCAAAAATCCTTTCTCCACATTGAGAGTTCTTCAGTTTATGGATGCCATTAAATCCAAATAGAAAAACAAAATAAATCATTGTACTGTTCAAATGTTGCTCCACCATCAGTGAGCTGTGTCATTTTCCTCTGACACTTATTTGTTTCTGTCTGTGTTTTTATTCATAGTTTTACTACTATCATTTTTTTTACACCAAGTGATCTGTGTAATGTGACACCACACAGGCTTGATAAAATATTAACCCCAGCACAAATAATTCATCAAAGTGCGTTGAGGACAGAGGCAAAGCAGTCAGACAGATTTTGTCAAAACTCCCTGTCTCATTGTTTTGTAATATGGACAGCAGATTTCAGAATATCACCGTCTTATCACACAGTTGTACTGGACAGACTCAATAGAGATATTGTGTTCGGACATTGTTTATTCAGAAAGAACAAGACGTCAGTGTTTTTCCTACATGATGTTGTGTACTGTGTGTGATCAAGGGTTGTTGTTATTATTGTATTTAACTTAGTTACCACATGTAAATATACTTAAACCCCCCATGAATGCACAGCTTGTGCTCAGTGTGCTCACTGCTACCTCGGAATGACGAGGCAGGTCTCCAAGAGTACTGGCTCAGTAGTAGTAGTGAAGCATATGAAGGAGACTCGTGATTTACAACATGTCAGAAGAGGATGTGTAGTTGTTTACATAGAGATGGTTTTGCGTGTGTGCAGGAGACAGATCCATCATTCAGGTGTTTGGTAACCAGCAGCCCAGTTATGAGCCATTTGTTCAGCCAGTCACTCAAAGAGCTGCCAAAACCCAAATATTTTTGTGCAATTAAAGCAAGTCAAATAGTTTTTTTTATTGAGATTGAAGGGATTCAACACTTGTATATTTATTTCATGTGTACAGGATACAGAGTAGGTAATATTTGTTAATTTATATTAACTAACCTCAGTTTAAGGATCTGACTGGAATTTGACATTTTAAAGGAGGATTTTATTTCTGAATTATCCTAATTTTCCCAAGCAAAGTTCTGCCCTACAAAAATATTAAAATACAATGTGAAGTTTGGCACTTGCTCTTAAAGGCCAGTAACATTTAGTTTTTGCTTTTTCAACGACAGAATAAATCAAGGTCAAAGTGTTGCATTTGTATCTTAAGCATGATAAGACAAGAAGTGATAACCTGTAGAGTGGAGATGAGACCTGTTGGTATGAACCCAACACAGTTGTTAATATTTTATGAAGCTTGTTCAGAGTCATGTTACACAGGTCTCCTAGATTTGAGAGGAGCGACCCCCTGGAAATGGCAATCTCAAAACTGAATCTCAAAGATTTGCCACAGCCAGCTGGCTTCCATGTCGCCAGTCTTGTTTTTCCAAGAAGATCTTCATTTGGGGAAATTGGACTCACGTTAGGAAATATGTTAGAAGATATTAGTTACCATATGTTTATTCAAATGAAATTAACTCAGTGTCACTTGAATGGCTTGCTTTGCCAAATATCTTTTACTTTCAAACATATGAGAAGATTTTACATTTGTTGTGAAGTCCCACCCCTAATGATTAATGTATGAATGTAATATACAATGTTAAACTGGGAAATATCATAAATATTCAATGATAATCTTTTTTTTTTTGTTTAGGTGTATTTGTTAAAATCAACCTTATTTATTATTAACCCTATTTATTTATTTATTATGTGTGCCAACTTGTTAGTGAAGCATGTAGTGGACAGAAACCTTTGCAGTGACAGTGTTTGTAGAAACCCACCTTGTCTCACTGTGAATAACGGATGTCTTGGGATCAGGCCGGATGTTTCATCCCGACATCAGGTTTCTGTTTTCACTCCATGTTAATGTTACAACACGTTGCTTAGCAACCCCCTCCTGGACTCCCCCATCAGCTTTCTCCATCTGCTGCCATTGGCTGACGTGAATGGTGAAGTGAAGTGTTATGCTTTGGTCTTTCAAGGTCTGCAGCACAAAGACGCTCCCTGATCACGGACGCATGTAAACAAAGCTTTGAAAATGCAATTTATGCTTTGGTGACACATTTAAGCAGCACCATTCTCCACCGCCACCACTGTACCTCCACCCTCATCCCCTGTAATTTATGCCAGCAACTCATGGCAGTTGTTGTCAGATGTTTTAATAACAACCAGCATGTGTTCTTCATCATCTTCACACAATCCAAACCAGAATCATTTGTTGACCCTGATGCGTCATAGTCTGATAACTCACTCACTAAAAAATGTCATAAACAATATTAAAAGTCTGAAATCTGCCACCTGTGAAGCCAGGCTGTTATTGATGGAGCTGCCTGTTGTGATTGTGTCTGGATGTGGGGACAAGTCAGTACTGGGCTGGCATTCTTGAAATAGACATATGATGGTGACCCGCTGGAGCCCTGCTGCATGCTCAGTTCACACCAGGATACCTTCATAGCACTTAAAATTACTGGATTATCATGTCACTGTTTATATTCACGCTTAGCCACCATATCCTATGACTCAATTATCAAGTAGTCCTGTCACATGGGCACTCAGTGAGTTATACTGGGGAACACATTCAGAGCTTCCATTCCACGTCGGAGTCAAAACATCCAGCAGAGATGAGGAAACGCTTTCAGCACTCTCTCAGACACCGATTTCAATTGTCATCACTGCTCACCAAATGTCTAGTACGCACTATTATCTAAGCCAGGAGGAATGTTTTGTGCTTGTTATTTAGTGACAACTTTAAATGAACATCATTTCTGTCTCTTATTCATAGTTATATGCCTGTGTGTTATGTCAACAAATATTTCATTATATTGTTGTGGTTGTCATTCATTATGTCCCAGTTCTAAGTCTCTCCTTATATGCTCATAAGCTTTCCTTAGTTTGAACCAATCACTTAGTGGCCACAAAAGTAAACTGTATAAACCCCCTTAAGGAGACAAATGAAGAGCTACTTTAATATTCAGTGTAGTGTTTATCCTCACTCTAGGGCCTGTGACTTGAGCTTTCTCGCTCTTGGAGTATAGCCTGGAACCCTTGCTGTGAAGCTGTATTACCCTGGGTAAACTGGCATTCTTATTACACTGGCTCTAAAAGCCTAGCAGGCACGTTATAAGCAGCCTGACTCTAACACAGCGTCTGTAACAGGCGGTTTGGTCCATGTAGCCAGCTGCAGCCTTCCTCAGAACTTTGACATGTGCTACGCAAGTGTTCCATGTCCCAGGAATCTGGTCATGGTCACCTGTAATAATTCTCAGGACTTCTCATGCACATTCTGACAGGTTTCAGGTCACTCCAACCCCAGAGGGACATGTCTTTTATTTGCAGGTGTGATTTGTGCTTTTGTTTTGTTACTCAAAAAGCACCCTTTATCCTTAAAGGTCACAAACATCCTCAAAAATCGGGCCTCAGATATGAAAGTGATACTGCATTGTTGTTACTGTGGTATTTCGTTAGGTGAGGATTGATGGATTCAAAGGCTTAGACTCAGTGCCCATATACTAGAGACTCAGCTTAAGTGTCATCTGTTATCAACATGAATGCTCAGTCCTGGTCTGAAGCCTGTAATGACTGCAGCAGATTCTGTAAGTTACATACATTTCCTTTTATGCTGCAGTTGTTTAAAATGAACTTCAAATAGTTTGGATGAGGAACGTGTAGAAGCCTAGGCTGCTGTCCAACGTGGAAGCTGTTTATGAAAGAGAGTAGGGAGGGCGGAGGGATAGGTGGGGGTCACTTCTCCATTAGGAGGATAAACTGCTGCTCCAGAGTGGCCCTTTCGAGCCATGTTTGGAGCTGTTTAGTGGGATTCACACACAGCGCTGGATAGCAAAGCAAAAGTCAACTGGCGTTACATAACAGGCCTTTCTGTCCATCCACAGAACAGCTGAGTGTGTGATGAGGGATCTTTTTTTGTGAGACAAAAACCCCCTGCATGAAGTACATCATAGTTCAGCTTGGTACCACACCACCTTTGTTTAGTTTGTCAGAGAAGGCAGACCGAGAGAAATTGAAGCCTAAATCAGATAATGTGATTGTTGCTGCCAGTAGAGAATGATCTGAACCACTGACATACTAACTCATAAAGCAGTTCATAAAAATATATATAAATCTAAAGTTTCTCCCTGATCTAATATATATAAATACAGCCTTCCTTTGATTTTTTAATGTAAT